ATGTTAATACAATATACCAGAACTTATGGGATACAAGATAAGCAGTGCTATGAGGGAAATTTACAGCAGTTAATACCGATATCAGAAAACAGAGCAAGCTTACATAAACAACTTAATGTCGGACCTCTTCTAGAAAATGAGCCCAAAGCTCATATGAGGAAAGAAATTATAAAGATCAGATCAGAAATTAATGCAATTGAGATTAAGGAAACAATACAAAGAATTAATTAACTGAAGAGTTGGTTCATTGAAAGACTAAATAAAATCAATAAGCCTTTAGTCAACCTTATCAAAAAAGGAAATAAAAGACTCAAATCCACACAATTAGGAATGAAAAGAGTAAAATCACAAGGGATCCTGCAGAAATCCAGATTATCTATACCTATTTTGAGAATTTGTATTCTAATAAGACGGAAAATGCAGAATAAATGGACAGATTCCTAGATACATATAAATTACCAAAGTTGAATCAAAAAGATATAAAAAAGATCAAAAAGATCTAAATAAACCAGTATCAATGAAATTCAAGATGTAATTAAAAACCCACCAACAAAGAAAAGTCCAGGCCCTGACCTACTCACTACTGAATTCTACAAGAAATTTAGAGAAGATCTAATACCACTACTTCTCAAACTCTTTAATTATATTGAAAAGGAAGCACTACTCCCAAATTCATTCCTGAAAGCAAGCATTATCCTGATACCAAAATCAGAGAAGGACCCAACTAAGAAAGACAACTATAGGTCAATTTCCCTCATGAACATAGATGCAAAAATCCTCCATAAGATCCTGGCAAACACAATGCAGCAAATCATCAAGAAGCTTATATACCATAACCAAGTAAGATTCATTCCAGGGATGCAAGGATGGTTCAACATATGAAAAATCAAAAAATGTAATACATCATATTAACAGAGCCAAGGACAAAAACCATAGGATCACATCAATAGATGCAGAAAAAGCCTTTGACAAAGTCCAACATCCATTCATGATTTTAAAAAACCCTACAGAAAACTGGAATAGATGGTCTTTATCTCAATTTGATAAAAGCTATGACAAACCAACAGCCAACATCACACTGAATGGACAAAAATTGGGACTTTTCACTCTAAACTCTGTGACAAGGATGTCCAGTGTCACCACTCTTATTTAATATAATTCTGGAAATATTAGCCAGAGCAATTAGACAAGAGAAATAAAAGGAATAAAGATAGGAAATGAAGAAGTTAAATTATCATTATTTGTGGATGACATGATACTGTACATTACAAGACCCCCAAAACTCCATCAAAAGACTTCTAGATTTAATGTCCAAATTCAGTAGCATAGCTGGATACAAAGTCAACATTCAAAAATCAATAGCTGGGCTGAGGATACAGCTCAGCAGAACAGTGCCTGCCTGGAAAGCACAAAGTCCTGAGTTCAATTTGAAATTAGGGAAACACCTTTCACAGTAGCATGGGAAAAAATTAAATACCTAGGAATCAATCTAATGAAGAAAGTAAAAGACCTCTACATTGAAAACTATAGTAATGGGGCTGGGGATTTAGCTCAGCAGCACAGCGCCTGCCTGGCAAGCGCAAGGTCATGAGTTCAATTCCTGGTACTAGAAAAGAAACAAACAAACAAAAAAAACAAAATCAGAAAACTATAGTACTCTCTAAAAAGAGATTGAAGAGGATATCAGAAAATAGATATCCCTTACTCTTGGGTAGGAAGAACCAATATACTGAAAATGGCTATACTTCCAAAATTATTATAGCGATTTAATGCAATTCTAATAAAAATTTCACAGGATTAGATAAAACAATCCTGAAATCCATTTGGAACCAGAAGAGAACTACAATAACAAAGGCAATTCTGGGCAACAAAGGCAAGACAGAGGACATCACAATCCCTGACCTAAAATTATACTACAAAGGCACTGTGATAAAAACAGCATGATACTGGCAAAGAAAAGACCCAAGGATCAGTGGAACAAATAAAAGACACAGAAACAACTCCAGACAGGGGGCTGGGGATTTA